TTAGAAAAGACGAATTCGATTAAGTACCATTCACGGGTTTTATGATCACTTTTCTAAGCTCATACTTACTTATTGGTGATTGAAATTATAGTTTTCGTTGGCCCAAGTGTATTGTGCGGTTAGTTTCTATTGTCTAGTTCTCATGCTTATCTGGAAATCTAGAACTTGTCTTGAATGTGGATTGAGGCAAAATTCTAGGTAGATCTTTGAGTTAAGAAATGAACGTAGGCCTTCTTTGTTGAGCCATAACCTAAATTGACCTACTTTAATGATTTTTATCCCTAGTTAGCCCAATTGAGCCTAAATAAATTATCTCTTATTTTGTCAGTCGCCAAGCTTTAACCCTTAGCCTGTTTGTTGTTATGACTTGTTCTTTGTTCACCCAATTCTCTTTTGGGCACTTTAAGAGTTGATCTGAATGTAAAAATCTAGGCGTGAGGTGTAAAATAATTGGTGAAAGAATAATTGTTTGAGGTTGTCGATCTTTTGAGATGTTATCATGAGAACTAAAAAAAAATAGTTGCTTCCGAATTTCAAAAAAAAAATCCAAAAAAAGAAAAAATAGCAACAAAGAAAAGTTGGCGACTAATTTGTTTTTTTTGAAAGGGATGAAACAAAACAGAGGTTTATTGTTTAAATGAGATGAAAGGCAATTGTACTTAAGAGATAAAATAAATGTGTAGTGCCCATAGGGAATTTGAGTCACTATTATCTATATGTATCCTACCCACCCCTAAGCTTACTTTACAACCTTGCAAAAGTCCTACATGATCTTAACTCAGAGACTCCTATATTAGTGAAAAACCACATGATAGTCAAGCTTATCGTTATTTCCAGTAGCTTGAGGTACTTCTTTGTTGAGAGTGAGCGTATTTTTTGATCTATGCCCTTCTTTGATCCTGTATCTATATATTATGTGATATATGGGCATCTCTCTTCAGTCGGTGAGATACACTTGGGATTAGAAAATATTATGATTTCAATTCTCAATAGGTGAACATGAGTACAACTGAAAGTTGTTTGAACTCGTAGACTGGTCTTGGTCAATTCTTCTCTGTCAAAACCTCTCATGATTTCACTTAAACTGTTTAGTTACTATGTTCATTTGTTTTCTTTGCTCGAGAACGAATAAAAGTTTAAGTATGGGAGAATTTGATAAGTGCATTTTACCAGATGTTAACCACATAATTTCTCTCATAAAAACATATAAATTATCATGTTTCCTCCATATTTTTAACTTTATTTTGCAGGAATAATTATAGAAGAATTGTTGTGCACAACATGAAAAAAAAAATATATTCAAGAAAAATACAATAAAGAAGTGTAAGATCGAACTATGAATCATTACTGCTGTGACAATGCACCAAGTCTCGATTTGCCATGATGAAATCGATGAAATCTAAACTTAGAATGACAGAATTCTCATCTCTGCAAATTCAAAATCTAGATTTGCACTGGAAATCTAGCACCAAATCGAGAATTTGAATTCTCATATCTGCAAATGCAAAATCTAGATTTGCCATGAAAATCTAGCACCAAATCGAGAAGTCATCATGAAATTTTCTTGATAAGAAGATGGTGCCCGATCATAGGAGAGGATGGCAGTAGAGAGAAAGCTTAGAGCTAGAAGTATGAATCCAAATTCTTAATAAGCTTCTCTATTTTATTTCTTTCACTAGTATCGAGTTATCTTTTCTTTTAAATCACAATAGTGGTTTAGTTGTTGTTTTTAAATAAAATCCAGTGTAGGAAATTACTTTAGTTCCTGCTTTTAATTAAATAGGGGAAATTCTTCTTCTTGAATATTTCTTTCAATTTTCTTATTTTATGGACAAGAATAGTTTCATTGTTAGCACTAATTCCAGTATAGAGTAATTTTTCTTGTGTTGGGAGAAAGACGGATCTTAATATTTCTATATAATAGTAGATATTATTCTTCAAATTCACATGCTTGAGCAAAAATTTATTTAATTTTTATCTGCTTTTACAGTTAGACATTATTTAATTTAATAACATTTATCTATCTTGTACTACATATTAACTGTTTATTAATTTTGTAATCGAGAGAGGCGAAAAAAATAATATAGTTAAGTGTAGTATTGATAAATGTTAATATTTATTCAGTAACATCTATCTCTTTTATGTTATAATTAATCTTACACTTATTTGTAATCAAGAGAGGCGAATAGTATAATAATCAGTTATAACAAGTAGGGTGTAACGACCTGGCTGGTCGTTTTGAGTATTATAATCTCGTTTTCCCATTTACTGCTCAATTTATGTTTTATATTTGTTATGTGACTTGCCGGGGGTAATTGATTCGGGTCCGGTGAGGTTTTTGAATAATTTGGAACACCTAGTTCCAAGGTTTCGAAATTCAGTTGAAAACGTTGACCGATGTTGACGTATGTGTAGTGACCCGGAGAATATTTGCTAAGAAAATTAAGGTTTTGTGGGGTCGAGGTAGATCAATTGCGGAGCTTCATTTTTCTGATTTTATAAACCCGACCCCATCTTATAAAACACTATTGGGGGTCATTTTGAAGGGTTTCATCTGATATTTTAGAGAGAGGTGAGAGCATTTTAGAGAGAGAAAGTGAAGACTTAGTTATTTATTCATCAATTTCTTGTTAAAGGTTTGAAGATTTCACAAAGATCTTGCTAGGGCTTCAAAGAGGTAAGAATTTCTTTCCTCAATTCTTCAATTTCGGGTTTGGAGTAAAGATGGGTGATTCATAATATGATTCTTGGGTGTAAGAGTATTATGTATACATACCAATAAGATCATGGAAAGATTGTTAGGTTCAAATGGGTAAAGATTGGGTTGAAAATGGTAGAAATCTTCATAGACTTTAATTGAAGATTTGAGGTTCGAGTTGATGTCGGATTTTGGTGAAATTTATATGGTTGGACTCGTGGTTGGATGGGCGTTCATATTGTGTTACTTTTGTCGGGTTTCGAGACGTGGGCCCCACGGGCAATTTTGAGTTAATTTCGGAATTTTCGTTAAAATCTTGATTTCGTTAATTAGACGAGTCTATTATTGTTGTATTTATGATATATAATTGCTTTTGGCTAGATTTGGGCTATTTAGAGCCGGGTATTCGTAGGAAAGACATTGTGACCGATTGATTGAGCTTGGTTCGAGGTAAGTGGCTTGCCTAACTTTGCTTGGGGGAAATCCCCTTAAGATTTGGAACTATTGTGCTATGTGAACGCCGTGTACGTGAGGTGACGAGTACGTACACGGGCTAGTTGTGGTAAAACCCGATTTTCTTGCCGAGCAACAACATGTTTTCCTGTTATTTTGAGTTATACCATTTTAATGAGTACTAATCTATTTTCATTCTTAATTGAGTTATTCCAATATGTGTAGCTATCATGTTTAGTCTAATACAACATGTCTACGTGTCTTAATTGTTTATGTGACTTATGTGCAGCATGCTTAGTGAATTTTCTGCTTCTTCCCTGACTGGTACTTAGTCTAAATTGTAAGAATTTTGTGATGTAGTTGTATTTCTATCATTTGCAGTGCATATTTACTTTAGGACCATGGAACGGTATTCCAGGAGATTCCCCTGCACATTTACTTTGGGACTACGGAACGGTATTTCGGGAGATTCCCCTGCACATTTACTTTGGGACTACGGAACGGTATTTCGGGAGATCCCTCTACACATTTACTTTGGGACTACGAAACGGTATTCCGGGAGATCCCCCTGCACATTTACTTTGGGACTACAGAATGGTATTTCGGGAGATCCCCCTACTCATTTACGTTTGGGACTACGAGACGGTATCTCGGGAGATCCCCTGTTGTGTTTTTGTGTACTGAGCTGTTACCTTATATGATTCTATTGTTGTTAAATTTCAGCCTTTATTTTATTGCAGTATTACACTCTATATTATTTTATTATAAATTTTACCAGTAGGGCCCTGACCTGACCTCGTCACTACTCGACTGAGGTTAGGCTTGGCACTTACTGGGTACCGATTGTGGTGTACTCAGGCTACTCTCTGCACATATTTTTTTTTCGTATGCAGATCCAGGTGCACCTTATCAGCCGCACTATCAGTGAGCCGGGACAACTTTGGAGACTTCAAAGTATATCTGCCGCGTCCGCAGACCTTGGAATCCCCTTCTACTCTTTCTCATGTCCATTATCTTATGTATTTTTTCTTGTTAAACTCTGATGTATAGAGACACTAGATTTTTCCTTCTGTAGTTTGTGATTCACGATATTCCGGGTTTTGGGATTTGCTGTGTATTTTTGAACGGTTAAGTGTTAAAATTATATTTTCATTTCATTATTCCGCAAATGTTAGGCTTACCTAGTCGTAGAGACTAGGTGCCGTTGCGACATTATACGGAGGGGAAATTTGGGTCGTGACAGTAATCGAAAGGGACTTACTAACAAGANATGTGCAGCATGCTTAGTGAATTTTCTGCTTCTTCCCTGACTGGTACTTAGTCTAAATTGTAAGAATTTTGTGATGTAGTTGTATTTCTATCATTTGCAGTGCATATTTACTTTAGGNAATAATTCTATTATATAATAGAAATATTAAGTGAAGTCAAGATCCCAACACCTTTTTATTATATTTGTGAAAAACAAAACATTTTCTATTGCTCCATTCATGCATTTTTAGTTAGTTAATGTACAACTCAACTCTTTCTAATTCTCTCAAATAGAAATTAAAACAAGAAACGATTGTAAAATAGATAAGCCAATCTCTGTGAATTCGACATCTTTCTATAATATTATTTGACAGAGTACTAGTTAGAATCTTATATACGCTAGACACTCGTCAACCATATCTCAATATAATCATAGTATAGTATTTTTTATCAATAAGTCATCTTTGCCTCTTAGTCCTTTGAAAGGCTTACTAGAATGAGACTATCTAACAACATTTTCAAACTAGTTTCTCTATATCTCTTGTCACATTTTCTTCTTATGCTTTAGGTATTCAAAATTTACTATGTCCAATTAATCTAGATATCATATTTGATCTATTCCACTCCGTCAGATTCTTTGACACTATTTTGTTACATTATTGCTAGTGTTCAAATTCCCCCTGATCTCAGTCAGTCCCCCACTCACCTTTTTGACCATTCCCTATGCAGCCTCCTTGTCCTTGATCTACTTTCATACAACCCCACATTGACTCATTATTGGTTTCTTTGATCTGTCGGTCCAACACCCTATTTCCTCTAAAATAAAACCCCAACATATCTCCATTTCTTGATCTTAGCTCAAATTTTAGTTTTAATGGAGGAGTCATCATCTTCAGCTTCACAAGGAGAGCTAATTTCTTCATCTTCAAAATCTGTTTCAAGAACTGGCACTCCAAATATGGTTATGGGAAAACATCGTCTGGTTGCTGCAATTGCTTCTCTCAATCAGCAAATCCAGATCATTCAGGTTATTATTTTCTCCAATTTTTCTGTGTTTTTGAGGTTTTTATGTTTTTTCTTATTTGGGAATTTTGTATTGTGATTTTTAGGATGAATTGGATCAACTTGATTCATTTGGTGAAGCCTCCATTGTTTGCAGAGAGTAAGTTATTATGGGAAAATAGAAATTAAATGACTTCTTGATCTTAGCTCAAGTTTTTGTTTTTTTTGAGAATAGGGTCCAGAATATCCAGCTGATGAACGTAGTAGAATTGCAGTGTTAGATAAGAATATTTTTATATCACATTGGACTAAAAAAAATAATAATCCAAGTAGCACATATTAGCGATAGAGAAACTAGATGTATTGGTTATGTACTCTACCAAAGTCACCTATACATGTCAATTGTCACTAAAAATCTATAATTTCTCATAATTCATGCTTAACTTAAGGAAGAGCATATCCGAGATACAAACTAGTTGAGATTTTGGTCTATTTCATATTGGTATTTACATTAGATAAGCTTGTTAGGAGTTTTTTAGTTTGCTTTGAAATTTGTGGTTAATAGAGTCGTACAAAACTTGTCGTGTTAGATAATTCCTATATAAATACAAATTATTGAGTGTTGGTCTTAGAGGAGCTTGATTAGAATAGAAAAGCAAAAACATGTTCTGTACTAACTTAATTGGGGTACGTTTATTTGGTTGCAGACTAGTTTCAAGCGTTGAGTTAATGCCCGATGCTCTGCTTCCAGTGTAAGATTTACCTTAATTTTGTGCTTTTACTTTTATCATTATTATGGCTTAGAGTTTCTAAATATTCTCCGCGACATTGTCAATAAAGAAAAAAATGCAGTGCAGTTTTGGGAAAAAGGTCCTTCAAGATATTCCCAAATTTTCCTGAATGTTTATTGAAAATTTACAAACAAAATAATTAAGTAGTTAACCGTCGATTATTCTCATTATACAAGGATTAAAATAAAGGGAAAGCAAGGGAAAATAAAAGGAGGGAAAATAGACATTTGTTAAGTGTACGTGGATGCAGAAGAAATTATGTTATCCTCTTCCTTATAGTTTTCTATATTAGGTATCTCTTTTAATTCTCTTAAAACAAATTGTAAAAGATTCTCAAAGAAAATAGTAATGCTTGCAGGACAAGAGGACCAATAAATGTTCATTTGGATCGATGGTTTCACGGAGCCAATGACTCAAGACGCAACAAACGCTGGATATGAAAATGAATTCAGAGTTAAGACCTTTATTCCTCACCAACTTGTAACAGAGATTAAGTAAAGCAATTCGAATAACTTCTTCTTTTTTGGTTTATTTTGTAATTAGAGGTATTAATAACAATGTTACCGAGTAAGGAGCCATGGCCCGTGGCTATTTAAAGAAACCTTTACTTCTTGCAAGGATTAAGTGGTTAAAGGTAAAGGAGCGGACCCATTGTCCATCGAGTTTCAAACCGTGCGCCAAATGGCCATTGAAAATTTGTCGGTTATCAGAAAAAAAGATTGATTTCAACCAGAATCACCTGTTCCTAGCATTCTCAGGCGCACTAAGATGTGGGAGACTATAGTTGAGGAACACTTGCCATAAGAACAAGCAGCAGTTCACCATTGAATAAACATACCGAACGTGATTGTTTAATGACGCATGAAATGTTTACACCACAAGGTTTAACAACACACAGATTTTGTCAAGAAGAATCAGAGACATTTATTGTTCCCTTTACTACCGCATCATCTAGAGTGAATTCATTACACGCAATCTACATATATTCAAGACTCCAAATCCAACTGCAGCATGGCTATGCTAATCAACATTTCTTCCTCTGTGGAACATGCAACGAATAACAAATACTACTGTTGCACTTCAGTTTCCCGAGCTGTAAGAGGCCTCACCAGATGATGAACCCTCTAGTTGTAGCAGCCTCATCTCCTCGTAAGCCCATTCGAGACCAGGACAATAGTGGAGTGGAGGATTGAACCTGGTATCATGTATGTTATCCGGCAAGAATGCACCATTTTTAATCAAGAATCTGATTGCTTTCCTCTTTCCTTTTTTAGCAGCATGATGGAGGGGAGTCCCTGAAACAAACAAAAAAGTTGACAGAGAATAGGGATAATGGTGACTAACTTTGATTTTGACACTGATAATAAGGGCAAAGCTGCTTTACATGAGTGTAGGTACTTACATCCACAGACACCCTTAGTTCGTGCATCAATATCGGCGCCTCTCTCAAGCAATTCATCCATAACTCGGAGGTGACCACCCTTAGCAGCAAGATGGAGTGGAGTCACACCAAGTGACTTAGGCCCCCCTGCAGTCACATTTGCATCCATGCCTTCACTAAGAAGTCTCTTGACCTGTTGATAAAACAAAAACAATCAGCATAACATAACCAATGGAAAGCAAGGCAAGTACATTACAGTGAGAAGAAAGGGTTCAAAAGGTAGGGTACCTCTCGGAAATGCACATGCATAAGAAATTCTTATAGTAGGTTACTTTATTAAAAATTAATGAAACAAATAAAAAAAAAAAGGTTGTCCGGTGCACAAATCATCTCGCGTTCACTGATGAAACAAATAAAATTTAGAAAAAGGAAGCCTGGGAAACAGAAAAAGTAAAGAAACTGATGCTTACTTCCTTGCTACCCATAGATCACTGCAACACATCCAGGGACAACACATTACCAATTACATTAAAAAATGAGCTGATAGTAAAGAGAAAAGCTATACTGTTCGATGAGATACTATCACGACCAGAAATCGAGTATGCTTACTGCAACCTACTCGCTCTGTCCCAGTGTTCGGATTTCGAAATTCAAACGAATTATTATTTCACCACAATATTTTCATATGAATGTTTTGAATTATGGAGTATTAATTATTGTGACTTATAGTACTTTTTATGCAGTTTCCAAATATGTAAATTTCATTTGGAAACACTTAAAGATTCTATATCTAAATACTCGGTCAAAATTAAGAAGTTTGAATCTAGAAAAACAAAAAGTGTCACAAATTGGGACAGAGGGAGTACTAAAATTTCTTTATCTTAGGGGGTCAATCTTATCACAGTACCTCACAAATTCTAGATTACAAATGGAAAATTTTTATTTTGTGCCTCACACAATAGAAGCTAGTTGTGTGAGGCCTCTTTTTTGTACACAACTTTGTGGTCCCAGAATTTTGTGGACACAAATGTGTGAGATAAAAGAGGCCTCACACAACTAACATAAGGTGAGCTTTAGCATAATGGATTCTAACTCACAGAAGTACATATATTCCAACATTCTATGTTCTTTTTCCCTAAGCTGTCATCTTGGTAAATACTCTATGATAAAAGGTGCAACTTACAAAACTAAATAGAAGCAGTATCATATATGCAGACATACTTCGCTTTGTCTCATCTTCTTGCCAAGTTCCTGTTATCATTAACTAAAAATCCATAAATAATTAACATGTCCCAAAAAAAAAAGCTCATACATCTAACACACAAATCACATTAAACACTATAAAACATAATAAAAGATGCAACACAAAAAAGAAAAAAGAGTACCTCTTTCAGGTCACCTTTACGAGCAACAATATGAAGAGGAGTCCAACCTCGATCATCCATATCACCTGCACTCATATCCAACCTCCTATACCTCCTACTTAAACCCAATCCTCTTTCTTGCATTTTCCTTTCTTCTTATTTTCCCTTTAATTAAACCATGCTCCAAAGTACAAAGTACAAACCCTTGCCGTGCCAAAAATTCCCTCACAATCAACAAGTTCTAATCTTTCCAATGCAATTGGTATTATTTTTTCAATTTCGCGAAAAGCCCAGAAGAATCTCGAGTAAATAAGGCCCCAAAAAGGTGACAATTTCTTAAAACCCTTCAAATTTACATGATTGAGTGGCAAAAAGAACCAAGAAAAGAAAATATCAAAATGGAGGAGGGCTTTAGCGAGAGGAATGATTGGCCAAGTTGTATGGAGCAAAAGGATTCAAACCAGGCCCAAAAACACGAAGATTAATGAGCTTAATCGCATTCACAGGCGAAGACGGAAGGAGGGAAGAGATCATCATACTGAACTTGATAATGGCCAAAAACAAACAAATATATTCAAGTTCTGGTAGTTACTATTACTGAATTGGAAGGAATCTTGAACCAATTTGGAATACGTTTGGCGGTTGCATATGTGTTTTGATGTAAGAATTGTTGTGAGCAAAAGCCAAAAAAGGTTTGAGATAAAACAGAAGCCCTAAATGTTGCAGGGAATGTTTCGGCACGGATGGCATAGAATTTGGCAGGATGTATATATAGTGCTGGGAGGAATTGGGCACCATACATTTAAGTGTCATTTGGTAGACCGTATAAGAATAATGCTGAATATGGTGTATTAGTAATGATGATATTAGTTATGCTGGTATTAGTTATGCTAACATATTCTTTATCGATTGTTTGGTTTGATGTACTAAAGCATTGCACAATTTCTAAAAGACTTGTTTGTTTACAAAAATATCATCATAACCAGTCCACATATCTTTTCTAAAGAAATATATGTTGAAGAATGTTTGTATATGAAAAGGGTTTAAATAAATTATTTGATTTGTCTATCTATATTGTAGTATAGAACTTAATATTTATTTATAAAATAGAAAATATGCTAAGTATTTATGTATTTACTAGGGATATAATTTTATTTCTCACTTTCTTGGATTATTTCAAATTTGCATTATATAATAACATATTTTAATCAAGTATAAATTTTGAAGGACATTTTTGTCTTTAACTAAGTTAATGCATGCATTAAAATCCATTACATTGTTAATACAATGGTTTCTTAGCACTAGTTATGCATAGGATAATACCAAATATGATGTATAACTAATGCATATGTTCAAAAAGTGTACCAAACAAAGTATTACTAAGAAACAAAGTTGATGCATCCATTATTTTACCTAATGCATCCTACCAAACGACCCCTAATGCGTAACAAGTCCATGTTCTATTTCGTCCCAAATAATAGTTTAAGGTCTGATTATTTTTATTAAGGATAAGATATGTTAATCCCGTAAATATTTTAATATTAAGATAATATCTTTAACCTTGAACAATAAAAAAATTAAGAGTTATTACTTATGAATATATGAATGTATATAATTTTAATTGGTCATACATGAAATGAGATGTAACAAAAGCTTGTGTTTATTGCATTGGATGTAGTCAAGCCGATCCAAGGTCGCGCAAGTTTTGTATAGGCTCTTAATTATCCGCTCCCAAGGCAAAATTTTACGGGGTGTCCTATTTGTTCGTGTCCCCATTTAACTTGTTTCACTTTCATGAAAATTTTTAATTAGTGCTCAAAGTACAAACAACGTCATACCTTTTTTTCCTCCTCGTTCTTCCTCTTCTTCTTCTTCTTCTTCTTCTTCTTCCTTTTCCTCTTCCTCCTCCTCCTCCTCCTCCTCCCCCTCTTCCTCTTCCTCTTCCTCTTCCTCCTCCTCTTCTTCTTCTTCTTCTTCTTCTTCTTAGTTGCAAGGTGGATTTGTTAGATATGTTGTTATTTTGACAAATTTATCTGGTTTTATTCTTTATAATATTTGAAAGTTATTTGAGCTAATTTAGAATAGATTTGAGTGTTCAATCGTGTGTTGAAATATTGAAATTCGACAAACAAGTTTCTGTTTATGAGCAATTTGTACTTCAAACTAAAAAAATCTTAAATACATACAAATATTAGCTGCACTTCAAATCAAATAAGTGTTAAATGTATCTTAAGTGCAATTTTTCACTTCAAGCTAAAAAAGTTTTAAGTGCATGCAAAAGTTAGTCACACTTCAAAATAAAATAATTCTAAGTGCATCTTAAGATTACAACTTCAGAATCGAATTTTTCCAACTTCAGATTTATTAAGTTTGAAGTTGATCCTAAAACGAATAAACTTATAAATTTATGTGCAATACGGATATAACTTTAATGGTGACCCATAAACTGAATATATATATTGTAGGCATATAAATTTTATTAAAATTAAATCCATAAAATAATTTGAATTATATTTTAAAATTCAAGATATATTGATCCAAATAAATATTATGGGCTAATATAATTGAATTACTTATATAAGTCCAATATATATAAATTAAATAAATAAGTCTTAATCTATTGGGCTAAAGTGATGAGCCCATTTCATTAAGCCCAAGATGTCATCTTCCTAGAGGCCCAGTTCGGTGCCACGTGTCATATGACGTGGTACGCCAAGTCAAGCAGAAGAGCCAATAGGATCATGCCATGTGTCAAAATGACAAGGCATGTCAAGTCACATTAAAAGGCCGATAAAATCGCGCCACATGTGCAAGTGACATGTTCTGGCCAATCAAATACGGTCATGTCATACTTCAATTTGATTGGTCGGAAAGGGTTTGTTCTTATCATAACTCTTCCCTCCCACAACTATAAATAGGGGTCTTCATAACCCACTAAAGAGACCAGAAGTTATAACAAGAAGCAAGAGAGAGCTCGTGGATCAAACGCCGCGAATTTCTCCACAAGTTTCAAGCTTCAAACAATCAAGTTCAAGTTCAACAAATCAAGTTCAAGCTCAAGAACGAAGAACAAATCAAGTTCAAGCTCAAGAACGAAGAACAAATCAAGATTCAAGGAGTACAAGTTCAAATCAAAGTTCGTGCTAGTTGAATTCAAGGTTATCGTTTGTGACAACAAATATAGGTTCAAGATCAAGCTCAAAGAACCTTGAATTTATTTACTATTGGAAAAAAGAATCAGAGGATTCATAGAGATTGTACACTCAAATATTTGAAATCAAATACTACATTTGTTGCGATATTTTTCAGTCTCGATTTTATTTTCTTGACGCAATTTATTGTCAACAAATTCTGGCACGCCCAGTGGGACAATCTCTATCTCTCATCTCAACTTTTCAATCATCGATGTTCAAGAACATTGAAATGGCTTTAAAAAAAAATCAACCCCGGTTCAATTTCCACCAAGGCTGCTAATTCCAGGTTCTATGCTGATATGGAAAGCATCCTTGATGTTACCTTTGGAAGCTTTGGACCAGTTACGAGGAGAAAAGCAAGCACGTTAGGACAACAAGCACCCCAAGTGTCATCCGCATCAACCCCTGTTTTCGGATCTTCATCCTCAAAAGGATCAAGATCTTTCACAAACGCACCCGAAAGAGGAAGCGATGTTGCTGAAAAGATCAAGAAAACTCTTGTTCTGCTTGACCTCTCTGGATCCAAGCACTCTGCTGTGAAGGAAGATGATGATGCTTCAAGTGATGGATCCTCCCCACTTACACCACATAGCGTGAGCCAATCAAGGATCAATATGTGTGAAAATTCATGCTACTCTCCATCGTCCACGACAATCATGAAAGCCATGGTGACAAACACTTCATCTGTGGAGGAGAAGTTGGCAAACTTGACGGAAGCAATCACTGGCTTGACCAAGTGCATGCAAAATCAAGATGCTAGAATCGACAAGCTAACAGATAGGGTGGAAATCTTGATGAAAGAAGAATCCACCCACGCACCTGGTAAGCTCCCAAAAGTTCCAGAGGGTGATTCTCCCCCAAGACAAGTAGCATCCGTTAAGGCTATCCCTGTCTCATCTGAAGGGATGATTCCAATCGATCAACTGAAGGAGTTTATTGAAGGAACCATTAAGAACAAGCATGAAGTTGCTGCCAAGTCCTCCCTTACATACGCAAAGTCGTACACTGCAAGGATCAATATGTTGAAGATGCCTGCTGGCTATCAACCTCCAAAGTTTCAACAGTTTGATGGTAAAGGAAATCCAAAGCAACATGTGGCGCACTTCGTTGAGACATGCAATAACGCTGGGACTTATGGAGATTACCTTGTCAAACAGTTTGTTCGCTCGCTAAAAGGAAATGCTTTTGATTGGTATACAGACCTCGATGCAGGATCTATTGATAGATGGGATCAACTAGAGAAAGAGTTCCTCAATCGCTTTTATAGCATAAGGCGCACTGTGAGCATGGTGGAACTCACAAATACTTGTCAATGGAAGGGTGAACCAATTATCGACTTTATCAATCGTTGGAGGAACGCAAGCCTTAACTGTAAAGACAAGCTTAGTGAAGCTTCTGGCATAGAGATGTGCATCCAAGGCATGCATTGGGGATTGCGCTACCTCTTGCAAGGTATCAAGCCTAGCACATTTGAAGAACTTGCAACTCGTGCCCATGACATAGAATTGAGCATGGCCTCCGCTAGAAATGAAAGGCTGCCTATCTATGAACCTCGCAAAGGGAACGACAAGCAAAACATCAGAAAATACAGCAAGTTTGTACCAAGATCTGAAAACAAAGAAGCTATGAATGTCAACACATCACATGTGAAGTTCACGATGAAGGTGAGCAAGAAACAGAGTATGAAATCCACTTCGTTTCAAGATAAGCCAAGTGGAAAGTTGACTCTAATAGAAATGCAAGAGAAAGAGTACCCATTTCTGGATTTTGATGTGCCAGCCATTTTCAAAAAACTCCTCGAGTTAAATCTCATTGAGCTTCCGGAGATGAAGCGACCAAATGAAGCTGGGAAAACTGATAACCCAAATTACTACAAATATCATCAACTTGTGAGCCACCCTCTGGAGAAGTGCTTTGTCTTCAAGGACAAAGTTATGGACTTGGCTCGTGAAAAGAATATCGTGCTTGAAGATGAGAAAGCAAGCGCAAACCAAGTCTCTATTACATTTGGCTCATTCAGTCCAGACGAATTAGTAAAGATGAAGAATTACTAGAGAACAACAAAGTTGAAGACGATCAACCTGAGGATGATAAAGGTTGGACGTTGGTGACTCATCGTAGGCACCACAGAAGGAGCCCACGAAAAGAATCAGTAGAACAACCAACAAGGAAAATGATGGTAAAAAGACCAAGGAGATGGAATCCAGTTAAGCACTTAAAGAAAGCAAAAGTGGAGGTACACCACCCTCAAAAGCCACGACATCCAGTGACCTTGGAGGAGTTCTTACCAAGTTGGTTCCGCACGAAGATTTCCTATGGGGGTATTGATGCTTCATGTTGCCATGGTGACCAAGGGGAAGAAAAGAGTGATGACCTACTGTTGGCACCATCTTCGGAAAAGCTCATCGAGTCCACTCCTCAAGAAGTTAATGCTTGTGAGGAAAAAGTCACGTTCACAAATGATGATCTTCTGCTAGGTGACACTCTTCATAACTGCCCATTGTACCTGGCTATATATGTGATGAAAGGGTAAATCAAATTTTGGTTGATGGAGGATCCTCA